CGATTAATTAAAGATAAAGTTGTTATTAAAGATAATAGTTATTTTGTTAATTAAAAAAAAACTACATAGACATTACAAAAAAAGTAGCTTTAGAAAGAAATATAAGTAGCTTTAGAAAGAAATATTTTAATTCAACATACAAAAATAAAAATAAATAGGCTAGTAAAATATACAATTTTTTTTTTTAAACAATACTCTAAATATAAAACTAAAAGCGCCAGTAGGTGGTGACAAATCCCTGTCTTAATAAGTGAATGATTCAGTCATTCATTCAATCAATTCGTTCAAACAGCTGATTCATTCAGAAACGAAGCAAGTGACTGCCTTTATGAATGGCTCACTAAATCATTGATTCAGTCGATTCGTTTAAAAACGTGGATTCTGTGTGTTGATCAGAGATGCACAACAGTTATCCTTATTTTTGTTGGCGAAATTACTGACAATGTGTCTAAAATGTAATTATTCACACCGTATCTTCATTTTTACTGTAGGTTAAACACTTTTATGTAACCTATTTTTGTCTTTCTAAACGCCAATGATGATTCTGAAAGAAAACATGCAGTGTTTGTTATAGTAACACTTGCAACTTTCATGTGCATCTGACTAACATTACCACACGCTTGTATTTTAGCGTTGCTGTTAATGTTGTGGTTATTTTAGCAAATAGTTTGCTCCGTAAAATTCAGTTCAACGGCATTAAGTTGAAGAGGGTAAACTTTATCTCTCGACTGAATCTGCACATGCATTTCAGGTGTTCTTGCTCCGTCCAAGCAATAAATGCATGTCTTTGAATGAGCGCTGTAGCGTATTCTTCAACCGCTCAGGTAATGTCAGTACGATCCATTTCAGGGGCTGCCAAAATTACATTTTTAAAATCAGTCAGAGCTATAGAAGTACATATTAATATTTACAAGTAAATCTCCATATTATGCATAGGCTAGCCTACTTTCTATCTGACCCCCCCTACATCTCATTTTGACATCCATCAGGGGGGATCAAGCCTTCTTTAGGGGTGTCAGACCCCCCCATAATTTGCACCCTGCCGATGACCAGTGGTCATACATCTTATATCAGGTGCACTCGTCATCAATCTGCGCCAGGCATTGTTTGATACAATGCAAGGTACTTTACAGAGCTCACCTGAAAAATGCACAATTATCTAAATTATCTAATCTTTTCCAGACAAGAATGACGCTTGCAACCATTCTAGACAAGTTCCAGCAGGTTCTGGTCATGTCCTCGATTAGTAACCTTTTGGTCCAACGTATCTGACACACTGGGAGAAGCACTTAATGTTGAACTGAGTCCCAATCTATTGACAGTTGTTTTTGGTATTTTACCATACACTACTTACTTTAGTCCCATTGCTCAAGTGGTTGCTTTTACCACTCTATTAGCTAAAAGGAACATTCTCTTTAAATGGAGGTGTGCCACTTCCCATACTCACAATAGATGGATACAAGATATATTTTTTGCATTAAATTGGAGAAATTAAGGTTTATGCTTCAAGGTTCCCTTAAGACCTTCAGTAGCACCTGGGATCTTTTCTTGAATTTCATTAAAGCCCCAACACATGGTAAGGACATGGTAAGGACATTTTGTTGTTTGTTGATCATTTTGATGTAAGTGAAAATCATACTGTCCTGACAAAATGCCAATAAAAATATTGGGGAAAAAAACTTTTCTTAAAGCTTATTGCTAAATTTCACTGTATCTGCACCCCTCTTTTTATTTAGTATACTGTAATAGACATGTTATACAAATGACTTGCAGAATAATTCCTGATTCCCAAAAGGAGGTTTTTGTAATAGTGTTTTGAATTGATCTGTAACAAACGTTCGTAGTTCGGGAAGAAGGAGGCGGGAACCGGCGGACGTTTAAATAAACTTTAATAAAATAAGCACAAAATAGCGCGACAGCCCCTCGCGGACGACTGTCGCGCACAAACGAAACCAAAACACAAAATAAAATCCAGGCCTGGTCCTCTCTCGTCTTTCCCTGTCGTCACTCCTCCTTTATATCCTTCCGGAGCTCCTCCGTGAGACTCGAGACCGGTGAGTGGTGCAGGTGTCGCTCATTATCCATTAACTCCACCGGCCTCGCTCCGTTCCCACGGCTCTCGACCCCGCCCCCCTCGTCACATGATCTAACTAGTGTTCTTTTAGTTTAGTTTAGTTTAAATATTTGGATTCAGAAGTTTGAGGTTTGTACAAGTTGGTGTGTAGTTTTGAGATTTTGTTTGTAGGTGTAAGAAAATGGTGAATTACTTAATGAATTGTGTGTTAGTAGTCAAGAAAAACTGAATGTTAAAAAGCTTTCCGTGTATCAGATAATTAAAAGTAAATGGTATTTATGCTTGTAAATGTTTGAAACAAGTTAGACTTACCACAGTTACCACATGGGATGCCAATGCAATGAATTCAGGGGATGAGTGGTTGTTATATATTTCACTGAAAGTTTCATTTAGACTGAATCTTAAATGTATGCTTCCCTCGTCAAGGGTAGGAGGATCAGTATTTGTGCCCTCTGTTGTTGGTGCTACAGTGGACACATATGAGGTATGAGCCTCTGTTACTGGCTTTACTGACGTTAGTGTTGTTGTTGTTGTTGTCGACGTTGTTGTATATACTGTTGTAGAATTTAATACAGTAGATGAACCCTTAGCTAGTGTAGTCTTGGTTGATTCTGGTTTATTTCTAACAGTTCCTGCTGCTGTTTTCCTTGATGCAGTTGCTGGCAATGCTGATGTCACTGGTACAAAGGTTGAAGCTTTTGGTGCAGTAGCAGACTTTACTAAGCTTGTTGTTGATGTTGTTGTTGTAACTGTACCTACTGCCACAGAATGTATCACAGTAGATGAAACTTGAGCTAGTGTAGTCTTGGTTGATTCTGGTTCATTGCTAACGGTTGCTGCTGTGGTCGTGCTCGATGCAGTTGCTGGCAATGCTGATGTCACCTGTACCAAGGTTGAAGCTTTGAGTGTAGTAGCAGACTCTACTAGGCCTGTTGTTGTCACTGTATCTTCTGTTGTAGTTATCCTGATCGTTTCCGGTTCATTGCTAACAGTTGCTGCTGTGGTTGTCCCTGCTGCAGTTGCTGGCAATGCTGATGTCACTCCTGCTGATGGTGCAATGGTTGCACTTGTTATTTGGGCTTCTGCAGATGATTCTGTAGATCTGGATGTTCTTGCAGTTGTTGTCTTTACTTCTCTTGCTTCAGTTAAAGGTGATGATGCCTCTGTTATTCGTGCTGTTGTAGTTGGAGCAAATGTTGATTCTGTTGTACCAGATTCTCTTAATGTACTTATTCCTGCTGATGAAGAATCACTGTCAGCATGTGTTTTAGGTTCTTGTGTCACACTTTTGGCAGTGTTGGAAACTTCTAAGGTATGAGCCACTGTTACTGGCTTCACTGACATTAATGTTGTAGTTTCGTTTTGGGCTGGTGAGGGTTCTGTTGTGATTTGAGATGTCACTGGTACCAAGGTTGAAGTTTTGGGTGCAGTAGCAGACTCTTCAAGGACTGTTGTTGGGGCTGTATCTACTGCCACAGAATGTAATACAGTAGACGAAACCTTAGCTTGAGTAGTCGTGGTTGATTCTGGTTCTTCTCTAACAGTTGCTGATGTGGTTGTGCCCAATGCAGGTGCTGGCAATGCTGATGTCACTTGTACCAAGGTAGAATCTTTGGGTGTAGTAGCAGACTCTACTAGGCCTGTTGTTGTTGTCGTCACTGTATCTTCTGTTGTAGTTATCCTGATTTTTTCCGGCTCATTGCTAACAGTTGCTGGTGTGGTTGTGCCCAATGCAGGTGCTGGCAATGCTGATGTCACTGGTCCCAAGGTTGAATCTTTGGGTGTAGTAGCAGACTCTACTAGGCCTGTTGTTGTTGTCACTGTATCTTCTGTTGTATTTAGCCTGATTGTTTCTGGTTCATTGCTAACAGTTGCTGCAGTGGTTGTGCCCAATGCAGGTGCTGGCAATGCTGATGTCACTGGTCCCAAGGTTGAATCTTTGGGTGTAGTAGCAGACTCTACTAGGCCTGTTGTTGTTGTCACTGTATCTTCTGGTTTAGTTATTCTAATTGTTTCTGGTTCATTGCTAACAGTTGCTGCAGTGGTTGTGCCCAATGCAGGTGCTGGCAATGCTGATGTCACTGGTCCCAAGGTTGAATCTTTGGGTGTAGTAGCAGACTCTACTAGGCCTGTTGTTGTTGTCACTGTATCTTCTGGTTTAGTTATTCTAATTGTTTCTGGTTCATTGCTAACAGTTGCTGCAGTGGTTGTGCCCAATGCAGGTGCTGGCAATGCTGATGTCACTGGTCCCAAGGTTGAATCTTTGGGTGTAGTAGCAGACTCTACTAGGCCTGTTGTTGTTGTCACTGTATCTTCTGGTTTAGTTATTCTAATTGTTTCTGGTTCATTGCTAACAGTTGCTGCAGTGGTTGTGCCCAATGCAGGTGCTGGCAATGCTGATGTCACTGGTCCCAAGGTTGAATCTTTGGGTGTAGTAGCAGACTCTACTAGGCCTGTTGTTGTTGTCACTGTATCTTCTGGTTTAGTTATTCTAATTGTTTCTGGTTCATTGCTAACAGTTGCTGCAGTGGTTGTGCCCAATGCAGGTGCTGGCAATGCTGATGTCACTGGTCCCAAGGTTGAATCTTTGGGTGTAGTAGCAGACTCTACTAGGCCTGTTGTTGTTGTCACTGTATCTTCTGTTGTAATTATCCTGATTGTTTCTGGTTTATTGCTAACAGTTGCTGCAGTGGTTGTGCCCAATTCAGTTGCTCGCAATGCTGATGTCACTGTTACAAATGTAGAAGCTTTGGGTGTAGTAGCAGACTTTACTAGACCTGTTGTTGTTGTCACTGTATCTTCTGTTGTAGTTATTCTAATTGTTTCTGGTTCATTGCTAACAGTTACTGGTGTGGTTGTGCCCAATGCAGGTGCTGGCAATGCTGATGTCACTGGTACCAAGGTAGAATCTTTGGGTGTAGTAGCAGACTCTACTAGACCTGTTGTTGTTGTCACTTTATCTTCTGTTGTATTTATCCTGATTGTTTCTGGTTCATTGCTAACAGTTGCTGATGTTGTTGTGCCCAATGCAGTTGCTGGCAATGCTGATGTCACTTTTACCAATGTTGAATCTTTGGGTGTAGTAGCAGCTACGAGACCTGTTGTTGTTGTTGTCACTGTATCTTCTGTTGTATTTATCCTGATTGTTTCTGGTTCATTGCTAACAGTTGCTGATGTGGTTGTGCCCAATACAGTTGCTGGCAATGCTGATGTCACTGGTACCAAGGTAGAAGCTTTGGGTGTAGTAGCAGACTCTACGAGACCTGTTGTTGTTGTTGTCACTGTATCTTCTGTTGTATTTATCCTGATTGTTTCTGGTTCATTGCTAACAGTTGCTGATGTGGTTGTGCCCAATACAGTTGCTGGCAATGCTGATGTCACTGGTACCAAGGTAGAAGCTTTGGGTGTAGTAGCAGACTCTACGAGACCTGTTGTTGTTGTTGTCACTGTATCTTCTGTTGTATTTATCCTGATTGTTTCTGGTTCATTGCTAACAGTTGCTGATGTGGTTGTGCCCAATACAGTTGCTGGCAATGCTGATGTCACTGGTACCAAGGTAGAAGCTTTGGGTGTAGTAGCAGACTCTACGAGACCTGTTGTTGTTGTTGTCACTGTATCTTCTGTTGTATTTATCCTGATTGTTTCTGGTTCATTGCTAACAGTTGCTGATGTGGTTGTGCCCAATACAGTTGCTGGCAATGCTGATGTCACTGGTACCAAGGTAGAAGCTTTGGGTGTAGTAGCAGACTCTACGAGACCTGTTGTTGTTGTTGTCACTGTATCTTCTGTTGTATTTATCCTGATTGTTTCTGGTTCATTGCTAACAGTTGCTGATGTGGTTGTGCCCAATACAGTTGCTGGCAATGCTGATGTCACTGGTACCAAGGTAGAAGCTTTGGGTGTAGTAGCAGACTCTACGAGACCTGTTGTTGTTGTTGTCACTGTATCTTCTGTTGTATTTATCCTGATTGTTTCTGGTTCATTGCTAACAGTTGCTGATGTGGTTGTGCCCAATACAGTTGCTGGCAATGCTGATGTCACTGGTACCAAGGTAGAAGCTTTGGGTGTAGTAGCAGACTCTACGAGACCTGTTGTTGTTGTTGTCACTGTATCTTCTGTTGTATTTATCCTGATTGTTTCTGGTTCATTGCTAACAGTTGCTGATGTGGTTGTGCCCAATACAGTTGCTGGCAATGCTGATGTCACTGGTACCAAGGTAGAAGCTTTGGGTGTAGTAGCAGACTCTACGAGACCTGTTGTTGTTGTTGTCACTGTATCTTCTGTTGTATTTATCCTGATTGTTTCTGGTTCATTGCTAACAGTTGCTGATGTGGTTGTGCCCAATACAGTTGCTGGCAATGCTGATGTCACTGGTACCAAGGTAGAAGCTTTGGGTGTAGTAGCAGACTCTACGAGACCTGTTGTTGTTGTTGTCACTGTATCTTCTGTTGTATTTATCCTGATTGTTTCTGGTTCATTGCTAACAGTTGCTGATGTGGTTGTGCCCAATACAGTTGCTGGCAATGCTGATGTCACTGGTACCAAGGTAGAAGCTTTGGGTGTAGTAGCAGACTCTACGAGACCTGTTGTTGTTGTTGTCACTGTATCTTCTGTTGTATTTATCCTGATTGTTTCTGGTTCATTGCTAACAGTTGCTGATGTGGTTGTGCCCAATACAGTTGCTGGCAATGCTGATGTCACTGGTACCAAGGTAGAAGCTTTGGGTGTAGTAGCAGACTCTACGAGACCTGTTGTTGTTGTTGTCACTGTATCTTCTGTTGTATTTATCCTGATTGTTTCTGGTTTATTGCTAACAGTTGCTGCAGTGGTTGTGCCCAATTCAGTTGCTGGCAATGCTGATGTCACTGTTACAAATATAGAAGCTTTGGGTGTAGTAGCAGACTTTACTAGGCCTGTTGTGGTTGTCACTGTATCTTCTTTTGTAGTTATTCTAATTGTTTCTGGTTCATTGCTAACAGTTGCTGATGTGGTTGTGCCCAATACAGTTGCTGGCAATGCTGATGTCACTGGTACCAAGGTTGAAGCTTTGGGTGTAGTAGCAGACTCTACTAGACCTGTTGTTGTTGTCACTGTATCTTCTGTTGTATTTATCCTGATTGTTTCTGGTTCATTGCTAACAGTTGCTGATGTGGTTGTGCCCAATACAGTTGCTGGCAATGCTGATGTCACTGGTACCAAGGTTGAAGCTTTGGGTGTAGTAGCAGACTCTACTAGACCTGTTGTTGTTGTCACTGTATCTTCTGTTGTATTTATCCTGATTGTTTCTGGTTCATTGCTAACAGTTGCTGATGTGGTTGTGCCCAATACAGTTGCTGGCAATGCTGATGTCACTGGTACCAAGGTTGAAGCTTTGGGTGTAGTAGCAGACTCTACTAGACCTGTTGTTGTTGTCACTGTATCTTCTGTTGTATTTATCCTGATTGTTTCTGGTTCATTGCTAACAGTTGCTGATGTGGTTGTGCCCAATACAGTTGCTGGCAATGCTGATGTCACTGGTACCAAGGTTGAAGCTTTGGGTGTAGTAGCAGACTCTACTAGACCTGTTGTTGTTGTCACTGTATCTTCTGTTGTATTTATCCTGATTGTTTCTGGTTCATTGCTAACAGTTGCTGATGTGGTTGTGCCCAATACAGTTGCTGGCAATGCTGATGTCACTGGTACCAAGGTTGAAGCTTTGGGTGTAGTAGCAGACTCTACTAGACCTGTTGTTGTTGTCATCACTGTATCTTCTGTTGTAGTTATCCTGATTGTTTCAGGCTCATTGCTAACAGTTGCTGATGTTGTTGTGCCCAATGCAGTTACTGGCAATGCTGATGTCACTGGTACCAAGGTAGAATCTTTGGGTGTAGTAGCAGACTCTACTAGACCTGTTGTTGTTGTCACTGTATCTTCTGTTGTATTTATCCTGATTGTTTCTGGTTCATTGCTAACAGTTGCTGATGTTGTTGTGCCCAATGCAGTTGCTGGCAATGCTGATGTCACTGGTACCAAGGTAGAATCTTTGGGTGTAGTAGCAGACTCTACTAGACCTGTTGTTGTTGTCACTGTATCTTCTGTTGTATTTATCCTGATTGTTTCTGGTTCATTGCTAACAGTTGCTGATGTTGTTGTGCCCAATGCAGTTGCTGGCAATGCTGATGTCACTTTTACCAAGGTTGAAGCTTTGGGTGTAGTAGCAGACTCTGCTAGGCCTGTTGTTGTTGTCACTTTATCTTCTGCTGTATTTATCCTGATTGTTTCTGGTTCATTGCTAACAGTTGCTGATGTGGTTGTGCCCAATGCAGTTGCTGGCAATGCTGATGTCACTTTTACCAATGTTGAATCTTTGGGTGTAGTAGCAGACTCAACTAGGCCCGTTGTTGTTGTCACTGTATCTTCTGATGTATCTATCCTGTTTGTTTCTGGTTCATTGCTAACAGTTGCTGATGTTGTTGTGCCCAATGCAGTTGCTGGCAATGCTGATGTCACTGGTACCAAGGTAGAATCTTTGGGTGTAGTAGCAGACTTTACTTGACCTGTTGTTTTTGTCACTGTATCTTCTGTTGTAGTTATCCTG